TTTTTTTTTTTGAATTGAAGACTTTCCACGTAAAATTCCATTCTATATATATTATTTCTACGCCTAACTCTTAAAAACGCCAAAACTGCTAAATTCTTATGTATCGAGAGCTACGGAACCAATTACTGGCCGCATAAGTTTTCCATCAGAACCGCATAAGTTCTACTGGCTGCATAAGTTTTCTATCTTGTAATTTTGTTAATTTTGGAACAGAGCGATTTTTTAAAACGTCCGTCCGACGTTCAAAAATCCTAAATTACCAAACAGACAGATGAATAGCAAAAAAACATGTCCATTTGACGTTTGACACGTTTAATGCGAAGAGTTACATGATTATTTGAATAAAATATATATTTTAATTATTTGAATCGATCATGAGAATGTAGCATACCTTTGAAAATTCACAGTACTAAAGTCACACTCATCAAGAGGAACGTCTAACGTTCTCAATTTTTGGAAACGAGATAACTTACGAGGCTACTAATTCATTCCGCAGTTCCCACCGTATTTAAATCTTCAAATTTCTTTGATTTTTTGTTATATAATTTTGATTGCATGTTTGATTTTGGTATTGTGTGTTTAAAGAAATGCACTAAAATCCTTTAGCTGAACTTAATTGTTCTACATGAATGTGTTACATAAATTGATCGATAACATAAATCTAAAAATATTGACAGTGCTGAGCCCGACCAAGCTATAGTTTTTTTTTCTTCAAAAACTTTCATACTTTTACTACACCCTATTTGACCTGTGATTAAATTTCGGTCGATTTTCTTATTTCCATAATGTATTAAATAATTTCAAGGTGTTTCCTATTGTCTGTCATTACATTTACTAACATAAGTTTTTCGCTTTCTATCCAACAGAAAAAAAAGTAACCAAGCGCAATGAATATGTGACCGATGAAGAACTTAAAACCGAAGGAGATAAATAGAAACCAAAATGGACGGCAAAAAATGAAATTTCTTTTCGGCCGTCTCACTGGAAAACTGAAATTGTTTTGAAATCGGATGAAGAAAAGAAGGTACATGCATGAAAACACACGAGAGCTGAAACATTCAAAAAAAAGCAAGAACATCGACGAAAATGGCGAGGCACACGATTTCTTTTTCAATCATTTTTATTATTTATTTTTTAAAATATAGGAAAATGCGTTCGATTAATCAAGAGATAAAAATAAAGCAAACAGCTCGAGAGATAATTAACTATGAGTAAAATGGCCGAAATCCATATGCACAAATTGAATTTGTTCTACCGTTACAAAATACGACACACGATGATCACAATAGAGGATCGAAATGCTATAATATTTGCCTATATGAATTGAGTGCAACGACTAAAAATAGTATTACAAAATGCTTGCATTTGGCATATAAAATTGCAACAACCAAAATATTCTACGTTCACAAATAAAAATACAATTTATTTTCCACATAACATACAATTTTTATTTTTTTTTGTTGTAGTTTTACTTAATTCAAATTTGTAAGTTGCTATCGACAACTAAAAAACTTCATTGTAGTATTTTTTTTTTTGTTTAACTAGCGAAATAGGTATTTTGTTGTTTTTATCAACTAAATGTAATTGTTTTTTTTTTTTCGTAAATATATTCAAAAGAAACAAAATAAATGGTACTTGATTAAGGACGAAATGTCGCTAACAAAATAACTAGAAACTGATAAAAAAAGGCTTTTTTCTCTAAACAAATTCCAAAGAAATGGTTGTGGTTTACAATGTATGTCTTGACCACGGTGAAGTTTGCTCTGTTGCTGGCTCATTTTCGTGCGAGCAACGTGAGGTGAAGCAATCACTTCCCCGGGCCCAATCATTTAAGTCTAATTAAAAAAAAAACGTTTGTTACATCCTAAGGTAAGCAAATGACATTGCGCAAAAAATTACATGTGCATATGTTGAACAAAGAGGTAAATCGAGAGCAACAATTTTATTGTATGCCCATTTTTTATGCTATATATAATATAATAATTATCGAATACAATTTACAGCATAAGAAAAAAAAAATAAATACATTCGGTTGCAAAACAAATGAAATCTATTAATTAAACAAAAGACAAAAAAATGTAATCAAAAAATTTGATACACTTACAAACAAAACTATTCGGCTAGAAAAAAACGAAGGCGTGATTTTTGTTGTTTTAATTTCAAAGAAATAAAAAAGAGATTACAAAACGAAAAATCTAGTCAAATTCATTCCGAAAATCAAATGAAACTCTGACTGAACTGACTTCTATTTCAAAAACACACACATACTAGTACGAACACAAATTGAGTACGGACGCTCAATTGATACAAATTTAACGAGAAAGAAATTAAAGGTATTTTATTATATAGATTGGCTCTTACGAATTATGCAAATGCTATTTTTTTTTTTTTTCATGACAAAAACGATAGAAGCGGATAAGAAAAATATACATATATAAATTAAATCAAACGAAACACTGACTGAATCAAGCTTTTACTTAGATTTTGGCATATCCTATATATGAATATTTATGGCTGGCTTTCAAAGCTGATGTCTCAACTCTCACTCTCGTTGTACAAAAGAAAAACAACAACAAAAGTTTTTCGGATTTAATTAGAGAATTAAAAAAAAAAAACAGAATGAAAAATGAAAAAAAATCGTAGTTTTTGTGTGTAAAAAAACCCAAAAAATTAATGAATATGCAAAGCTAAATAGAATCAATGGCAAAACAATTACGATGAGAAAAATAACTCTATCATTTGGATTTGAATTCAATTTTGATCGGGCCAATAATATCGAGCCATTTGAAGAAAAGCTCCGAAACGCATAATTTCAATCAACAAATCCACAAAAACTCTATTTTGATGAAATCGTAATCTCACATTTTCGCTATCATTTTATCAATTGATCTTTCGTAAAATTCAAAATTGTGAACGCATAAGCGTGTATCATGCTCTCAATTCAAACTAAACGTACGTTAATAATATCTAATTTGAAATCAATTCGAAACATTTAAAACAAAAAATTTTACTCTAATTTTCGCTGTTAAAATTATAAATGACTATACGGGAAAAACGGGGAAGAGAGAAAGAAAAAAAAGCATGTATAAAAAATTAAATTTAACTTGTTCATAAATTGCAGTGATAAAAACGGTGGAATGGCCCAGAGAGAAAATGAAAACGAACGCGAAAAATGGCATAACGAAACAGAAGTGAAAATGACAAAAAACGCATTATTACTGTTTATAAAACAATAAAATATTGTTAAATTATCAATTGGTGACGGAGGGGCGTGCGCGCGCAAGAGATAGCAAGACAAGCGCGAATGAGAGAAAAACAATTTTTCCATAATTAAATTTGCAGATTTCCAACTCAATTTTATCATTCAATTTTGAATATTACTCAATTACATGCATATTTATGGTGTACACCAATGGGTTTTATGGATTTTGTTGTGTTTTTTTATGCGTCGCATATCGTGACCCATACAATTTTTCATTCTTCCCAAACAATTTATTTGTCACATTGACTCATATGGTTTTTTTCGTCGTAATATGTATTTGCATCATGTGCATATTTTTTCTTTGTCTCTCGATTTTCAATAGTTGTGGCTCGACTAAAATTTTTTTACTGTGTTTTGCTCAATTTTCGGAAATTAAATCAATATCAAAATACAAAAAAAACAGTAAATTGTACTAAACTATCTTGACTCTAGTATAGTTGTTAGGATAATTTGTGTATGTGTGTTTGTTCTTTTGTGTATATGTTTTCATATAAAGTGTGAATATAGAATTAGAAGAGTAGCAAATTATTTTTTCTCATTTCTTTTAAATTATTATTCACATCGTTTTTTTTTTCTTCGACCAAACCAATATAGTTTCATTTTTGTAATTGTTTAGTGTGTTTGTGTGTGTATGTGTCGGGTAAGTAGTATTATATTTTTTTACATATATAAATGTAAGTGTTTTATGTGTGTATATATATAATCCAAACTATTACGTAATGATTTAATTAAACGAAAGAAGAATTAAAAAAGAAATGATGAAAACAAAAAATAAGATTGAGGCATTTACATATCAAGTAAGTATAATATGGTATATACTGAGAGAGGGGAAAAAAGAAGTGAAAAATGATCTACTAAATTTGATTCATACATAGAGGTTTCCGCTGGTTAGGCAATTTTACACGCTAAAGATAGATAGTCATATTTGTCATTTTATATTCATAGATTTGTTGTTGTTTTATGATTTTGCATAGTAAATATTCTGCGGTTGTTTTTTGTTTTGTTTTTAAATGCTAATATAATCGTATGGAACATACACAACAAAATATCTTGCTAAATACAGATAATATTTATATATGTATAAGATATCAAAAAAAAAAAGAACAACTGTTATGTAAAATTCAATATACAATACACACTTAATGAGCAGGAAAAACAAAAACCGTTACGTTATTTCAAGTTTGTTTAAAAAAAATATGAAAATTAATACATATATATGTAGAATAGATAGGCGTAATTTTAGCAATTTGTTCTATAATGTTGATTTTTTTCTTTTCCTTTTCTCTCTCTCTCATTCTCACTTGTTCTCCATCTCAAATAAATGTTAAGATTTTGTTCTTTTGTTGCTGGATTTTTTTTTAAAACTGTTTAATATTATTTCCTCCTTTGTTTTGCTCTGGGTTTTTTTTATATTTTTTTGCGTATAATTGTTTATATAATTGGGTAAAATTGTGAGTGTGTGTATGTGTTTGTGTGTTTGTTTTCCATTCAATTCCATTTGCATTTCACTTTTGTTATAAATAATGCGCATTTATGAAACAAACTGATATAGGCCTAACTCAAGCAAATCCATGTGTTGATTGAATGTAGTTGTTTTTTCTCTTTTAAAACATTATCTTTTCTATATATGTGTGTGTGTATGTGTGTTTCGTTTGCATTACAATTGTATTTTCGTTTTAATGAATAGTTTAGGTTATTACGATTTGTTTTATTTCATTTTTTTTTTTTATTCTGGTTTGGATTATTACTATTTTATTATTTTTAAAGGGCGATTTTCTTTTATAAATCTTTATTTATATTTTAGATCACGTGCGTTTTTGTGTTGAATAAGTATGATTAAAATAGTGACACAGCGAGCACTGAGTGGCGGCCGCAATTTCATGCCCGTATGAAATGATGCATTTGTTTTAAAATCATGCAGTGGCTAAATTGTTGTCGATATATTGTCGCCCTCTTTTTTCCCGAGAAAAAAAAACAGATAGATAAAAAAAAGCACAACTAAAAGTAGGTGACTGAGTCGGTTCGAGTGTGAAAAAGAAACATAGAAAGACACAGAGTGGAAAAGCGGCAAGATGAAAGCTTTTTGTTCTCTCTTCTTATAATATGAAAGCGTATGCATTGGCAAGTACGAGGCGCCACATTCACAATCGCATTTTCACATTGCGATACATAACATCGATGATGCACAGGTATTTCATTTTTTGTACGGCACATTTGACACACTGTGGTGTTTAAAGCAAAACATAAAATATGTGAATCGAACAATAGCTGACAGCATGTAATAAACAAACAAAGCGAAAAGTGTGTGTGTGTTGTTTTGTCTTTGGTCGCAACGATGCCTGCGCGCAAATGCAATAGGGAAAACTAGAATAGAATGACAAGCGTTCGTGTTGATACGCGCGCAATTATTACACAACTGTGTTTTTAAAGCAAAGACATATATAATATATAGAACTAAATAAATAAGCATGCAGGAGTTGCCCGTTTTAAGACATGAACTTTTCATCAATCCCAATTTGTGGACATTTTCAAAAAATCAAAATCGTTCGACGACACCGCTCGTTTTTTTTTCTTCTCTTTTTGCTTTATCAATTTCAACATTCGAAACATATCACAGTGCACATTTTGCATCGTTGTCAAATTGATTCGTTTTATCAAAATGAAAGTTTCACCCCCTAATAATTGTTTGTTTTATTTTAAGTTCTAGTTTAAATGACGCTTAAAAACACAAAATTAATCAACGATTTTTATCATAATGACTACCACGAAAGAACATAAAAAGTCCACACGTTTCAAGAGACATCACGTCTCTTTGTATAAGCTAAAAAAAATTCATTATTATTATGACGATAAACTAAAGACGAGGTAAAATTTTATGCGTTCTGGTTTAACCAAACACATTCATTTAAAATTTAATCTAATGAAGAGACACAAAAAAACGTAATATATTTGAAATAATAAGCACATAATTCCAAGAATTCACTAAACAATGGGTCTAAATAACAAAAGAACAAAAAATAATTGAACGTAAACAGTTTCTGTAGATCAGATCGACTAAATTTCAAATGATACATCGACCCGAAATGACTAGTATGACTTACGAATTTATTTGCAATACACGCTCGATTATTCTTTTTTTTTTGCTTAATTTCTTTTAAAATCCTTTTGTTAAATTGTGTTAATTAATTTTTTTTTTTTAGATTTTTTCCGTTTTGATTTTTAAGTTTCATTGCATTATTATATTAAAAAAAAAAGAGAAAGTCTAGAAATACGAGAGCAATGATCTTATTTAATTTTTTTTGATTTTGATTTGTGCAAACTAAAAATAGAATTAAAAATAAGTCACCCGTTTTCCTGTCTATCTTGCTATGCATTTATTTTTAAGTTAAAAAAGAGGTTCTCTCTTTTAGCAAAAGGGATTGATAAAAATCCTAAATTTTACTTAAAAAAAACTTTGTTTTTTTTTTTTGTTGTTTCAACAAAATGCCTTTCTAATAGCCGGTCTTATGATTTGTTTTTGTGCATGTCGATCGTTCACTAAAAAAAATGGTGGTGGAACTGTCTCCCTCATCAAACAAAACGAAAAATTGAAATACAAAAGTCTTCTAATTAATGACTAAATTGAGGTTACGACGTTAGTTCCATTGTTCCACCGCACAAAATCAAATGGACAAAAAAGCCATAGCGTATTTTTTTAAAATAATAATAGTATAACACTAAAGAGTTTGAATAGAAGAAACACAGTTTAAATTGTGGGGTTTTTTAAATCCCGTTCAGGCCAGACGTTAAAATTAAGGCAACGGTATCAATTCCTTGTCACACACAGAGATTTGAATCTCAAAATGGAATCGCACAAGGGTGCGATTAGTGACACGACTGAAAATCAAATGATTACAAAAAAATTTAAGATGTTTTCATTTTTTTGTATGGATTCAGTACAACGGCTGCATTGGCTGCCGTTTGTTGTGCATTCGTTAATTGTGGTAATGTTTGCAATTGACCCAAACCGCTGTATGGATGTGGTGTGACTGTTTGTAGATTCGACATTGGATGATTGCCGGCAAAAGGCAATAATGGCATATTATTTAATGACATTCCATTCAAAGGCATTGTATTTAAAGGCGATGCATTGGCTGGTTTTGAATGGCGTAAAAATTGTTGGGCGGCCATCGTTTGATTTGGTACAAACATGGCCGATGGCCGTGAAAAAACGGCCGATGTTGTTGTATTATTTACATTACCAGCCATTGAAACCATTTGACTCATTTGACTCATTTGGGTCATTTGATTCATTTGATGATTAAATTGACCAATTTGACGAACGGCGGCTGCTTGATTTGCGGCCGCTTGATTTGCGGCCGCAAATTGTGCCGTTGTCAAATGTTGTGTAATGTGCGATTGTTTTGGTTTTGGTGTTTGTGTAGGCAACAATGGATTTTTATTGTTCATATTCAAGGCAACGCCAGTATAATTGAATGCAGTCAACGGTTTTCCCGAGTACATATTTGATGCGGCCGCCAATTTTAAGGCATTTGCATAATTTTTTTGGGCCAATTCACGTGCCAATGTGGCCGGATCGGAAATATTTTGTACCGTTTGGCCACCAAGTGTAACACCATTTGTACTATTATATAATGCCGATGATTGTTGTGATGCAGCAGCTGCGGCCGCTGCAGCTGCTGCTGATTGGGCCGATGAAAATGTCAAATTATAGATGGCAGCATTATGATTTGACAATGACGTTACATATTGTGTTGTTGAACCACTATATGGTTGATATTGTGGTTGACTTACAACGGTATGGGCTTGTGACTGTGAATGAGGCACGAATGTTGAATTGAGAATTGATTGTGCTGTTTGAATTGGTGTGCTAACCAATTTTGGTTGCACCATTGATGTTGGCGCAGTGCTCGCTGCTTTATTTACATAAATTGTCGGTTGTTGTACGTGTTGCATGAGTTCAGTGCCGATCTTTTGACCATCGACAATACTGACCGATTGCGATTGATTTGCTGCAATTGCTGCAGCAGCACTTGGCACAACGGCACCGGTTAATAATTCCTGAACTGTCGTTGACGGTACGGACGTCACAACTTTTTCCACGTGATGATGATTTTCCACATCGTTATTATTATTATTATTGTTATTGTTTTCGTTATTATTTTGTTCATTATTATTATTATTACTATTATTATTATTGTTGTTGTTGTTATTTTCGTTATTTGTCATCAAGTTATCGATGTTATTATTATTATTATTATTGTTATTATTAACGGTATTATTATTATCGATTGTTGTTATTGGATTTGCTGTAGATGATTGTGGATTTGAAGTTGTAGTTGCAGTAGGACTGGGGCTAGGGTACTCACATGAAACTGGAACAAATGGTTGTTGTAACTGCATCAGTTGTTGGTATGTTGTACCGGGTTGATAGACTGGTATGCCTGATTTATCGGCGGCTGGTCGCTTAAAAGGTACACCCATGCCAGGAAAAGCCTAAATCAACACAAATATAAACACATAATTACGATTAATTCAATATACTGATTCAATCCATAAATGACATTTTTGTTTGGGTGCTTTTTTTCGAAACTGTAGCGGTTATCGATCGGTAAAACGGTTTCGGGTAAAGCGTTGATTTTAAATTTTGTCATTTTACTGTTCATCGAATTTGTAAAAAAAAAAAATCGGGGGCGGTGGTGATCTCTTTTAGTATATGTATACCAACCAAGAGATAAATGAAACATTAATCCCAGTTTAACGCATCATCGTGAAGCTAAAACGCGAGCCCTCAACACCAAAGCATTTTTTCGAGTAAATCACAAAGAAAATGAAAAAAAGAAATTGTACTTGTTATTTGCCAAAATTGAATTTGTGCACATGAACAAATGACATTATGTCTGAGTCTTTTTTTTCTTCTTCTTATCTCGCTAAAAGCTACAAAATGTGAGTGACATTAAACGAAAAATAAAATGAATTCAAATGGATCGATTGTATGTGTGTGTATGTAAAGTTAGGCAAACGGTGTTGATTAAAAACAAGCTGTCGCAAAAGAGAAGATATGATCATTAATTATGTCGTTTTTTTTTTGTCAAATGGCAATTGAAATGTGTATGTAAATGCATATGTGTAAAAGCAAAATGAACGAAAAAAAAAAATAAGCCATAACTTCTCTCACAGACACTTGAATTCCGTTTTTAGAACAGTTTGGTTATATTTATTACCGTCGTCGACATTGATTGACAACGACTTTGGTTAAATTGAATTACCAGCGCTAGTTGATTAGTATGAGTGTATTGTTATTTGTTTTTTTTTTTTTTTTAATGTTTGTTGGTCCGAATCGTTGACGGTTTTGATCAATGCACATCATTCGTATGTTCAGTATACAATATCATATCGAATGATCACATTGCAGCGCAATAATGGAAAACATTGAATGAGAGAAAGCAATACAGAACCGTCAACATTTTCGGCACAACAATCAGGCGATACGTGTGTTTTTGGCACTTACAAAATTTTCATAGTAGAATGATCCTACCGATTTCATATCCATCTGTGAAAAAGATACACAACAAAATTACAGTGAGTATTAGTGACGATTTTCTTAGTAACCACAGAAGTTGGAGGAGTGGATTTGTTTTTTTTTAATGGTTCACACTAAATTTGAAGTAGAGGAGTTGGGTCTAGTCTACGGTTAATCGGTTAATTTTTATACAATTCAGAATGCACTCGATTTTCATTCGTCGGCAAGACAACGACTACCTTTTTGTTGCCTTGAACATACCAATTCAGCTCATATATTCAAGTGTCCAACAAATGGCTTATACAGTAATGGCATGAATACGCATTGTTATGCACAAAAGCTGCAAAAAGATACTTATCGCCTTGCCTCAACACACATTGTCTTGTGTGGGTTTTTTTCTCTCGTTTTTTTTTTTTAAATTCAACAAGCTAACGTCTAGCGAATTCGCAGGCAAAATAATAATTGAAAAAAAGCATGAATTATTGTTTCTTTTTTTTAATTTGGTGTTTAGTTGATTGCATTCTCAATTTTGTGAGTTGGTTTTTTTCTATTGGAAGCTTTCATCAGTTGGGAAAACATTTAATGGTAAATTTGATGTTCAACATTGTGATTTACAACTATTAATACGGCACAGAAAATATGAATGACCAATCCATCGGTCATATTTAGGGAAAACGAAACGTTGACTTTTGGACAGCAATAGAATGATTATAGAATTTTCAAGTAAGAGAAATCTATTTGTGAAAAGTCTCTGTTAATGGTTTGTATGCAACTGTTTCTTCGAATTAACTTTGGCGATTTTAAATTAAAATAACAGAAAAACAAAACTATCAAATCGATTTCATGGCTGCGACCATATGGCTTATAATGACGATATATCGCAACCTTTAAATAGTATTTCAATTTTGACGAGATTCAAATTTTAGACAGATTTTTACGATATTTATTCAATTTGATCGATGGATAATCGTCACATTCATTTGAAATGAATTTATTGTTTATCGCATTGAATAAGCAACATAAAACATCTTAACAATATTCCAATTTTTTAAAAAAATTCGCCACAAATATTCAATAACTTTGGGACAAATATTTGTGCAAAGTTTACCGTTTTATTCTATCCAATGCCGATGCATTTTAAACAAACAATAAATTCGGTTGTTATGGTTTCTTTTGTAAATGTTCGAGTCAATCAAAATCAGTCAGTATGGTTAATATAAAACCGATAAAGTGAAAACATTTTTTTTTTGTTTTTCTTTTGTTGATTTCGAATTCAAGGCGTTGTGTGCATAAACGAAAATAAGATGGTAGATGGTTACATCAAAACTGAGATATAGCAAATATTTGAATATTTGCAGTGACAGCAAAATGATAGAATAGTAAATTGGTTGGACTGAGAGATTGTTTTTGTTTTACTTATTGGCTCGCTTAAAAGTTTGAGTCTGGCACATCAAGTTTTCAGTCGAGATAAACTTTTGGTATGTGTGTGTGTGTATTGTGTGCTGCAATCAATGTGCTTTATCACAAAAAGCTCAAGCAAAAACTCAATTTACCAGCCTTACACGAATACACGGCACAAAAATAAAACCAACGCAAGAAAAAAATGAAACAATTTTTTTTTGGTTCGTTTCTATGCATAACATCAACTAAAGGCAATTAACTTATTTATTATATATATAACTCTGGTCCAACCAATGCCCAGGAAAGATGCAGTAACAGATGTCAGAGGAACTTTATAAAAATGTAAACAAAATCTAGAGAGAAACAGCGATCGAGAGGGGGGTTGGAGGTTTTGGGTAGGGTAAAATCAAATAGCTGAAGTTAAACAAAGAAAATTAACAAAAAAAAAAAATGAAATAAAAATAAATAGCGATACGCCTGAAAAAAGAGCGGCGCATCGATCGGATTGTAGATACCATAGGTTGAAGCACATCGCTATCAGCAGCGCGTTTCTTTCCGGTGTCTCGTGTTACTTGTATACAGCTTACATTTGATAGAATTGATGGTGTAACGGCAGTGCCTTGTTGCTGTGACTGTTGTGCAATGGTCGGTTTAGATGTCAGTGAAGCAAACGATGGCGCTGACTATTTTCATTTTTTTTTGTTCGAATTTGTTTTGTCAATAGTTCAACAATCGTTTTACGAATTTTATGATTGGTTGATTTTTGGCGCAGAAGCCCATTTTTTATTCATTTCAAATGAATATTTGAAGATGCCGATACAAGTAATTACGTGTTTTTGTTCATATTTTGATTGTGTAAGTATTTGTGTATGTGTGAGTGTGGTTTTTTATTGTTGTTGTTGTTGTTTTTTTTATTTTATTTTTGTTCAATCGGCCCGGTGTTGAAAGAGTAAATAGGTGAGAAGAAGAAGCAGAGAATGAGCGCGCACGCACAGCAGGAAATGATAAAAGAAAATGAAAATAAACAAAAGAAAGAGAAAAAAAAAGAAATTGTTTTTGTTTAAACTAAATTTCAAGAATGTTTGAACAATTTTTAGTTTGTTTGCTATTTGAGATAGAAAGAGATATACATTTTTCAACATCTAAGCTTTATATAGCTAACTGGCTCTATGTATCTAAGCTTTTGCGATGAATACTTCTCATACTTTTTTAGTTTGTAAACACTTTGAATTACTAGCCAACTGTATAAACAACGCTAACTCTATCTAATCGAGGTTTAAAAAAAAAACAATTATATATATGTTCAATTGAAATGTCGCAATTAATATTGACATTTGGTACAATTTACGGATGCAAAAACCTTCATCATTTATTATCTGAAAAAACAATTTGCAAATGTATATGAAGAAAATTGCAGCCCAAAAAACTGAAGTGAATCACAAGTTTATCGGCAAACAAATTCGTCGTAATTTCCAATTATATCGATGACTGGTTCAAAGATGACACGATGACAATCCGCTCATAAAATATATCGTCGACAACAAGCTTACACGCACAAACACGCGGCACAAGTGAGTGTAGTTTGGGACAGTTTTTGTTTCCTTTTCTCGCCAAAAAAAGATGTATGATATTGTTTCAGTTTGTTGAAAATATTCAATACGAAAATAAAAATGTCAAAACAGAAAACATTTTCAGAGAAAAAAAAACGAAAAAAAAAATCGGTGTTTGTGTGTGTGTTTGTGTGATGTAAATGATCGTATTGATCATTGTGACTTTTTGGAGCGAATGTTAAGTGTGTTTGTGTAATTGTGTGTGTGTGTGTTTCTCTCAGAAATAAATCATTTTTTCTTTGGATTTTGTTTTCTTTAGGAATAAGTGTTTTTTTTTGTTTGCTTTCGGTCAAATACATATTAGTAATTTATACGATAGAAAAAAATACAACCAAAATTCAACAAATGTATATATTACTGGAAGAAAGTCGATTTATACAAGTGGAGACAAGGGGTGGGAGAAAATTGAAATTTTTTTAAAAAAGAGAAATGCAATGCACTTACTTATCTATGATATATAGAATACAATATAACAATTTTTGGTTTACAATTAAATTAGCGGTAGATTTTCATACGGATGGAAAGAGAGCACGCATTTAAAATGAAACATAACACAGAAAACCTGAAGGGAAGGAGACGGGAACTATATTTTAAAAAAGAGAAACGTTTTTTTTTTAAATCTTTTATATTATTATCTACAACTAGTTTGAGACGATAAAAGAAATTGGATTCGGCCATTTCACATTTAATCTCAATTATGGTCAAGGATCGTTCCTTAAGAGAGCAGAGCCGAAAGAGATCCACCTCACCATTCCTTCCTATTCTTTTTTGTATAAAAACCACTTATGGCATCGCACACATAAAAAACAGTAGTAGTAGAATTGTTCAAATGTATTGGTATATTGCAAATTTACCGCAGTTGACATTTAGTCCATCGCACCAAAACAAATGTCAAGTATGCTGTTGTAGTGACGATTGTATGAAAATACCAATAGATATTTTAACAACTATTGGTAAATTTGCAATATACCAATACATTTGAACAATTCTACTACTACTGTTTTGTGTGTGCAGTCAAGTTATTTTGGAGCTCATGTGACTTGATGGTGGACAAGAACATGTTGGACAAAAATTTACATTATTTGAAAAGCATCCGATCAATTTGAATAATTGTATGTTCCGCCAACGTATTGATTCCAACAAAATGGAAAATTTCAATTTCGGTCAGATTAAATGGTTCAATTTGTATGTCGAATAGACCGAAAGCTACAAGTCTCATAAGTTTCCTACTTAAATAATGCAACCAACAACAAATGTTGATTCGACTCAGTGAGTTGATCGTCAATTTTTAGTTGAAAAACCGCGAAAAACTTTTTCAGTACCAATTAAACATTGTGTATGTCTGTTTTGTCTGGTATTTTAGTGTATTTTACCTGAATCTGAAATTTTGTTGTCTGTCTGAGCGCCGTAGAAGTGTTTCGCTTTTGTTTTTCGCCAAATGTGTACACAGTCGCGCACGGTGTAAATATAATAAATAGAAGATTTAACATACGCTTTTTCCATTATCTTTGTGGCGGTTAATGTGTTGATGTGTGATTGACAAAACCAATTGTTGAACACTCGCATACGCTTTACATTCCGCATATAGAGACAGGTAGACAGACGTACAGACATACGCATACAAAAGCTTTGTCTGCATCTGTAGACAATGTTATTCTGAAAATGATGTGTATACGCGATTTGGTGTTATATTTTTCTTTTATGTCTGCAATCGCACATATACGATACATTTGAACACATTTTTTACTTGGAGTCTTTACAGAACACGGGTTTTAAGTCGAATGATGGTATTTGTAAACGTGCGAACAAAGTCAAAGACAGAGAGAGAAAGAAAGAGAAATAGACGGGGAGTATACACAATAAATGAAAATAAAAACAGATAGATATAGCGGTAGAGAGGAGAATATAAAAATAATTTGAAAACATAAGAACCAACTGCTTCAGTCGTACGGAATCGCTAAGTTTGGCTTCTGTCTGTTATAAGCAAAGTGTTTCAAATCAGTGAAAGTTTACCGTAGCACGGCGGTGCCAATTTTTTTGATCTGTACAATGACATGGCTCAGATGTCGGTTTTTCGTAATTCGATTTGAAACACATACTCTCTTTCCCCCCTCACTCTCTCTCTCTCCATTCGGATCTATGTGATCGCATTGTGAGCAAGTGAATGCGCTTTTGAACAAGAGCGCATTCAATTACAAACACCACACAGACAGAGGGAGATAGATAGAAAGAGAGAGAGAGAGAGAGAGAGAGAGAGAGAGAGAGGAAGAGCTAACACAAAACTGATTGAGAAGATATGTGTATGCTTTTTTTTGGGGAGATAAATATATCATAATAAGAGCAACGGAAAATAAAAAGTAAGCAGCGCAAACAAATGACAAGAGATACTTAAACTAATTTAGTCATATTATCGTTGTGAAAATGGTTATTGAAATAGAGAAGCATTTAAATAAAAAACGAACAAATTGAAACAAATGTTTTTGTCGGTTAATTTTGTTTTTTTTTTTTTTTTTGCATTGTCGAAGGGATAAAATGCAACCAAATCTTTCTATATTCAATGAAAAGTGAATGGTAAAATATTAGACACTGAAAGTAGTGAAGCCAACCAAAACAAAAATAAAATTCACATTCCAGTTTTTTAAAAAATCAAGTATTGTCGATATAATGACACAACCAAAAACAGAAATTGGAAAAGAAAGAGCAGAAATGAGCAACATAAATGGTTAGATATATTTAGATATAGATAAATATATGTATTTGTATAAATAGCAGATTAAGTGAATAAATGAAAAAATCACTATCATCTGGTGGTGCATTCTGTGAATTTGCCGCCTCAGTAAATCGCATAGACGCATTGGAGACTAGACTCTCCTTTCTCACTCTCACTCTCCTCGGTATGTATCTGGTGATGGAGTGTTTTATGAATTTGAAACCAGATCCATCTGGTTGTCTCAAGATAGAGATAGAGAGAGAGAGAGAGAGAGTGGGAGAGGGAGAGAGAGCGACAGAGAGAAGAAGTGGAGTTATGTTGTTGATTCTATATCACTCTTTGTTTGAAATGAACCAATAAATTGTGTGTAGCTGGCGAATTACACCGAATGCACCGAATGGCTATTAATTTTTTATTTTATTTTATTTTTATCCAGTGTATGTATGTATGAGTGTGTGTGAAAGCGTTACATAAAATGAAACAGATATACTGGTGTTTGGGCGTGTATAAATTATCTGAACATTACAAATTAATTATACACATTCATTATCATTAAAGTTTGGTTGAAATTTATTTCTGATTCGTGTTTTAGTGTTTGAATGTTAACGGTTATAACGTTATACGGAAAAATAAAAGAATTGAACGAAACACAAGAATCAAATCAGTTGGTCCAATAGGCGAAAAACAAACAACGAAAAACCGAAGACGAACGAACGAAAACAAAAATAAACGCAGATAAAAACGAAATGAAAACTCATTGGAAATACGTGAAATCGGTATCGGAAATCGGCACACAGCGAATGTGAAAACATTAGACAATTTTGTTGGTGTGCTTTTGTTATTATTGCAATTGTTATTGAGTGGAAAACTAAAAATGTTAGCCAATGCACATTCGGAAACCAATGCAAAAAAAAAATAAAATAAAATAAAGAAAAATCAAAATCATTCAATGTTTTCGTCCGGGTAAATTGCGCGGGTTAACCAAACCGAAGATAAGACGAACGGAACGAAATAAGAAAGATTGAAAACAAACAAAGAAGAAGAAATAACACAAACGATAACGAACGAAAAACAAAATGAAGAATTAAATGCGGAATAACGAACAAACCAAAACAGAAAACGGAAAAATAAAATGAACAAAAAATTAAAAACAAGAAAGAAAAACAAATTTCTGTCTTTTTTGTTGTAGATTTTCTTTGTTTGTTTTTGTAATTGGAAGTGGATTAAAGTAGTATAGCCATACCGCGGTTGCGCGTGTCTGTGCTGCTTTTATTTGAGCCTGAAGGTGCAAAGGAGGATGGAAGTAGCGGCAAGGTTCACGGGCACATCTACCTTTCACGGCATCCATGCATACCGTGACTGAACCATCTTCATGTGATGATACACTCTCTTGTGGATGAGCAAATCGGCATTCGGATTCAGCTCGCTTGCAGGCGCCGCGCATGAATTCGCGACACACCTAAATGTTTATAGTTTTAACACAGATTTTATTTATCAGTTTGTTGTGAAAGCACACAAATCAATTTGTTGATTGTTTTTTTTTTTTTGGTTTTTGGTCATGATTTTGGATGGATTAATTTCGGCATATCCGATTTGATGTAAAGTAATTTTTTTTATTGCAGTGTGTGGTAAATTTTTTTGGTTGTTGTTTTTTTTTTGGTCAAACGATTTTTAATACATTATTCAAAACTCCGCATTAGATGTGGTAGATTTGCATTCATTTTGATCATGTTTTGTTTTGCTTTCTCAAATTGATTGTTATTTTTTTTTGTTTTAAATTAAAAAATGCGATTCTCAATTGATATTAATAAATGATTGTTATGATTTGTTTGCTCTGAAGGGTAGGAAATGTTGTGGTGGGTAAATCAAGCGCCTATGCTTTTTTTTTCTCATTGGTTATTTTTCTTGTTTATTTGCACAAACCAAAAAAAATATTTACTTCAAATGAAAACGGAAAAATGATTATAAACGATATTGATATGTTTGAAATAGTAAAGAAAACGAACGAACGAAAATATGGCCATATCTCATGGTAGCGCATCAATGCAACACATTCGTTTGGAATTAATTGGAGAAAAAAGTAAAAATTAAAAGCAGTAAAATTGAAACGAAAAGAAAAAAACAAATCAAAAGATGCAGAAGGAGATCAAAACGTAACAACAAAATGAAAAATGCTTAACTCAAATATGTTATGCATACCATATATTGACTAGGATTAATTTGTGTTTATTTTTTGTATTTTCTTAAATGTTTCCGGCATCCGTATTTGTGCGAAATGCCATTAAGCGGCCAGTCAACACTTCTTGGCTCTGATTTCTTTTATGTGTTTCTTTGTGTATGTGTGAGGGTTTTGTTTTGTTTTGTTTTTTTTTTGGTCAAAAGTGTAAGCTATTTTCTGTTAGAGTAAAATTGGAATGGGGCGCAAATGGTTTTCGAACAAAAACAAAATTCAAAATAAAATATCTCAATTGGGGAAGGGGTGGCCAATATGTTCGTCTCACAATCACAAACCCACCAAAAAGAATTATCGGACGACGTTTTTTTTTTTGATTAGGTATGCTTTTTTGAATCACTTCCATTCGATCAATCAGACAGGAAGAAAAATACAAAAATGAAACAAAAAACGAGTTCAAAACGCATAGAGAATTCGAAAAAAAGTTTAATATTAGCTTAATTCCTTACCGGATCAGCCTATATCAAGATAAAAGCAGTTCGATGCCATTGCGTCTATAATTTCATGTGTATGTGTTGTGCTTGTGTGTTAAATGTCTGTGTCTTTAAGTGTTTGTTTGTGTCGAGTGGTATTGAGTAGAATTGGAATTTTTGCTTGTGCGCGCATAAAAATTGATTCGATTTCTTATTCGATTTACTTTGATTTTTTTCCGCCGTGTTTTATTTTTGTATCAAAACAAGAACAAAAATATTTATATTTCCGATCTAACAAATTGTTTTTTTTTTTTCTTCCAACCAGCTCAATACGTCTTTCGGAACAAGCTCGAGAAGTTTAAATATTTTATACGAACAAAAACAAACAAATTAAGGTATATTATGCGAACATTCATCAGCATTCATGCAGAAGTGTAAACTTTTATCTTTTTCATAAATAAAAATAAAACGGTTAAACGATAGTGTGTGTGTGTATGTATTCATTCGATTGGAACAACATTTTTCTTTCCACTTATGAATCTGAAAAAGCTTTTTCCCACTTTCTTCTTCTTTTTCTTATTCATTTTTCTTTTCTCCTCAAAGAATACCCCGTCGAAGTTCTAATCTGTTGTTCGTGAGGAAGAAGTTTAAATGTTTCTTTGCCGTTTCTTTTTATCTTTTAAAATTCAATGTTTTCTTTGAAAAATTTAATCAAAGTTTTGGTCAAACGAGAGTTAAAAAAAAGTGGAAATATTGTCGGATGCTTTTTTTTATATTCTTTACAACATGTTGAGAAAAGAGTTTGATTCAAGAGTTGAACAAAAAAAATATATATGTGAACGGTTGAAGCGAAAAATAAGATGCATCGTGGTGAAAAAGCCACCATACTTTCAACCAATAATGTACAACTCTAAAGAAATAGTTGATATCAATGAATCCCTTTGAAAGTGTTCATATTCGATCGGTTGGTGAGTTTCTTTCAACAAAACTCTATTGCCGACTTAATTTGTGATAACGTCGCGGAAAAGAGTTTCAACAAATTCGACATGCTGATATACAAAAACAACAGTCCTTAAAAAGACGTCATTTTTTTGTCTCTTCTTTTTCTCATATGATTACTTCGTTGGAATCTTCGATAAACAAAAAGTCACCAATCGTGTGTGGTGTCAATCAAACGATTTTTCATGACATATGTGCAGGTGATAAGCATCATGATAATTGTGTCATGAGAATGAGATGTGGCTGTTGTCAGCCCATACAATATACGATAGATTTTATTTTCCATTAAAATTTTCTCCTTTCCAATTGAAAATTGCACGCAAATGAATGCTGAAAGCCAACGTGTAAACATTATGCATTTCGAAATCAACTGAATGAACCGAACGAACATCCCTGAAATTTGAATCTGTTATCGACTGTCTAAATATTAAATTACGCTAAAACTGAGTAAAATTACGCCAGAGTTGAGATACAGATGAGGTTTTAAACAGAAAAAATTAAAGGAACAAAACAAATATATATGTAGATGTATATAAAAAGAAATCAGCAACAAAGTTAAGCCAAAAATCATCACTGAAACAGTGCAACTCAGTGAAAAGCATACAAAATACATTACAGAGATATAGATATAAATGATGTATATTTAAGTTAAACTGATGAAAGCATAATATTGGTTAAAACTAGAAAATTCGAGAGAATTTATACGATTTTCAACTCAACTCACTACATACAACTATGTGAAAACGGTTTATAATTATGTTTACAACGATAGAAAAAAAGGAAACGGCATGTGTATGTGTGAGAGAAATAGAGAAAATGTTGAATTCGCTATGCTTCCGTTTCATTTTTTTTGTTGTTGTTCATTTTCTAAAATCAGCTTCAGCAGATTAGACGCTACTGCATTAGTATTTAGACAAGCAACAGTCAACATACGTTTTAATTAAAAACAAAATGTAAACGTAGCATCTAACTTAAAAACTAGATAAAAAAATGAGTAATTCTAAATATCGGTGACTAAATGTTTGTCTCATCAAAAAGTGATTTTATATATTATGTTATAGATAAATTCAAAGTTCAGAATATACGTTGTTATAAACAAGATTTTCAGAGAAAAAAAAATTATAAAAGAATCGAATATAAAATAAGTAATACGTCAAAAGAAAATGATTCGCATAAACGACAGAAAATAAAAAATAAAAAATAAACATAAATAAAGCAACTGATTTAGTTTACCTCTAGTCTATCTGAGCGGGGAATTTTCTGTTGTGCAACTGGAACGGCTTGTGGAACGACAGTGTGTCCTAGCGGAGAGCCAACAGTTGAAGGGTCAGGTCCTAATAATGTAGGCACTAAATGACCAGGAGCAAAATATGGACTATATGTATTAGCTGGCATTCCAGTTAAATACGGGTTCGTGGCCTAGATATGGATAATGTTTGTTGGTTTGTATGTTTTTTTGTGTTTTTTTTTTACCGGTTGCGAAGCAGCGAGAGAAAAAAGATACGTAAAGAAAAAAAATATCACAGAAATGATTAAATTAAATAAGAAAAGCGTGATTATGTTTCGGCCGTGCGAAGCATTTTGGTTCAAAAATCACTTACCACTGCAGGAACTTGACCCGGTATAACTCCCGGTTGGCCGGGACCGATGCCCATTTGTTGCATAAGTGCGTTTTTCAAGGCAAGATGATTTCTTCCATTTATTAATAGTTGATCTTTTAAATGTTGTGGGGGATGGAAATATTTACATGGTGGCTTTTCACGGTTACAACGGCCCTAGAATGAACAAAAGAAAACAAATTCAATTAAATTTTTAACCAGTTTTAATTAAATAGTACTTGTATAATATGCATGTTATTAAGTCAATTTCAAGGAGCATGTAAAATGCTTGATTTGTAGTTTTCGATAAAAAAATAGTATGGAAATCGCATGCATTCGGTGTGGTAAAAATGCACATGTGTGTAGAATTTTGATAAGAACTTGGTCACAATAATAATTTGCACACGTAAATGTGTAAATTTGTTGACAGCAAAAGATTGAAATGATTAGAACTAAGTTATGGCTTTTCAACTGAACGACATTCCTCTAGCACATAACTCTCGAGAAATTATCAATAACATTGTTGAAACTATTTTCAGATGCTTTTTCATATGTGTTTCAGAATGGACACAGAGAGAAAGAGAGTTGCTGTCCTTATTGGGATCACCGGCTCGTTCTCTTTAACAGGTACTTAATGAAAATTATGTTTTAGCACATTGTTTGAATGCAAAAACCAACGGAATGAATCTGTCCCACTCTCACTTGAGCTGTATGAAGATGGAAGAGAACAAGAATGAAAAAAAAAGTGAGCGAGCGAGAGAGAGAAAACGCATGCATATTTAATCCATGGCATGGTTTGGGTCACAGAAAATAAAAGCGAATGGTGAAAGATGTAATGTGTATTTGCATACAACGGAGTCCGGTAACTTTAACAACTTAAGCCATTATAGCATCTACGTGAAGTTTTATTTTGGTTTCGAGGCGATACATATCAAGCATTAACAGCAACAGCATCGTCCCGACACTGGCATTAGCTACATACAGCAACAGTATTTCACATACACCGCACACACACACATTGGGTGAGTGCATAAAATATTTCGTTTCAATTCGATTGCTGGTGCTTGGTTGGTGTTAGCGCAAAACAAATTTATGAATAAAATAAGAGTTAACGCGGTCAAGTGTGAGCAAGAGATGCATATATAGGTTTTTATTTTTCATATGATACTTTTCGATGTGTTCGCTTTGTAAATATTCCTTTTATTTTTGCACCGTGTTTTATTTTACCATTCTACATTTTCGCATATCGTCTGAATATAGAGTGTGTACGAAGTTCGGTGTACCTCAGTTAGTTCAGTGCCTTTAGGAATGTTTTTGGAACAATTTATGTTCATTTCAAATGAACGTTGGAAACTCTCTCTCTTTCTGTCTATCGCTCGAATCGCATTTCTCGTTCGCTCAAAATTCGTTCGCATATCCAAAGTATCCGATGAATAAACATTTATTGTTATAAATTTTACATGCTTGTTTGGTTGACCAATTTGTTCTCGATTGGCCGATGCCCTGCAATATTTTCACTTGACTCTCCTTCTGCACTTGTATAACACGCCATTGACGTCGCCAATGCCATTGGTAGTTATACCATCGACGCCGATATGGTTACCATCGTCGTCGTCGTCGTCGTCGTCATCGTTTACCAGTCTTGAGATGAGAATTCACACGAAAATGAATTGGAATAGATTACGAATTCACGTGCATTACGATATGTACTTGGTTATTATATTTATTTGTTTCTTTTGCCCCGCTAAAGGTTATGTGAATAATAAATCAAAATGTCTTTGGGTATAGAACGGTGAATGTGTGCGCATATGTGGTATAGTTACCGAATGCGTTATACGCAATTGTTGGTGCAACAATTACAACAACAACAATAATAACAATAATAATAGCCAGGCAGCACCAAAAATACAAACACCAAACTGCAATAACAACAAATAACCGTTCTGATCAAAACCAGAATATATCAGAAAAAGCAACAGATCCACTCGTCCACCACTCCAACTAATATTGCTCATGCATATGAACGAAAACTTCTCTACTCCACTTCAGTCCCTTATTCTATACACACTCATATATACGTAATGCTCTGGGTTCGCAAGAAGTTTACACGTCCATTGGTAGCTTGTCTGTCCATTCGTCAGATTCCATCGTGTCCCGCTCTCTTGCTTTTCTCTCCCCCTCCCCTCTCTCCCACTCTCACTTTAATACTCTCTTTGGTATTTTACACTGAAAATCGAAAATATGTCTACATATTTATTCAACGCTATGCCAAGAATGAACATCACAGAGAATGAGTAAATGAGAATGAGTTTAACGGAACAAGAACATCATTGGACACACATTCCCACTAGAAGCATTTTCTATAAAGTCATTTAATTAAAAATGCACAGCCCAATTTGAACTATCCAGCAGTGACCACTTAGGCATAGCATTCTCACACACACACACTCTTTTGCTCTCTCTGTCTCTCTTGAGCACTCTGTTTAGTTACGCCAAAATGCTACACGTCGAAGCACAATCGCTCGAACGACACAACAGAAATATAGATGTTATTACACATTGCTGCAGTGTTTTTTTTATGAATCTGTTCCATATTGCTCCCGGGTGTGAATTCCAATTGGCAGTTGGTTGGCATCTCTTCTTTTTTTTCTAACGGAAGAAAATTCATTATTCTACGGAAATTAATTTGAGCGCGATGAAGAAAAAAAGAATTCTGAGACTATCAATCGTGATGCAATCTTTTAATAACTGAACCGGTTTGATTATTTAATTGTTAGGAGAAAATTGAAAATTGTAAAGGGACAAACTGGTTATTCCACTATATGTTCGCCCAGTGAAATAGAAAATTAACGGAAAAAGCACAACGAATTGAATTATCTTCATCAATTTTTCGTTCAAATACAAGAAACTCATACAAATATTCGATTTTTCTGGGAATTTCTAGATTCTGCTTAGTTACTCATTTCTGTGACTCTCACAACGTTCGAATTGTTTGAAAACCAATATGGCATTTTATTGCGTCGAAATGTGTGAAAATCCCATAGAAAACTATACAATTTGTCAGTGATGGTTCGTTTTTTTGCATGCGGGCTCGACTACTGCACTTTTTGAGTGGTTCGGAGACTCTGGCAAACAGTGAAGGCGATGTGGATATATGAACAAAGGCATACAATGACTTTTAATCGAGTCATAGTCAAACTCATATGGCAAATCTCAAGTGTATAGGCAAATAAAAACACACACACAAATGCAAACACTTTGCTTCCTCAACTCGGTTATAATGAACATACGCCGAGTGAAATTGTTTTCATATTTACTTATGACTGGTACAGTTGAGATATTTTCTATTCCATTGTTAATATTTAGAATTCTCTGGCATCTCTGAACTGCAATTTCACCATTAACGCAGTAATCATTTTTGATAGTTTGCTAAAAACTATAGTAACTCGCATTAAATTCAACCATTGAAATTCAGTCGATTCACATTGAATGTGTATTGTATGGTTATGACAAGGTGAGGTGGTAAAATGGAGGAAAAAACAAAAGATAAAACAAATGATAGCGTCGATGAGAGAAAATTGTCACAATGCTGCTGTTGTTTTTGTGAATATTTTAATTGAACTATCACCGCACAGAATTAAGTGAAACGGAGAACGGGAAGCCTGGCAACTTTTGAAAATGTGCAAAGAAATGAAATCGATTGGGAGCAAAATAAGAGTATATACAAAACTGTTTAGAGAGAAACCCGAATGGGTGATGATATTCAATGTTTGTGTGTGATCCTAATGACGTTTATTTCAACAGCATGAAGTTTTGACTCTTGGAGAAGAAAAAATATATACATAAAGCGTATGTGGTTTTGAAGCATATGATATGCTTTGATTAAATATACACACAGAGATCGTTGTGCTGAGAGTAGCAATTCACTTAACGCCAAATTCTCCGGAGTATTTCTAATGAAATTATTTTGAACTCATTTATTATCAAGTTTTTTTTTTTTAACCTTTTCGATTACCATTTGGGCGACGCATTGGTAATTAAGAAGAAAAAAAACCTATTCCCATAATTAATTTATTGATTACAAATAATTAACATCGAATTAAGAAACGCAAATCGTATTTGACACAACAACATATACCAATCAATGCACTTGTTTGATATCCATTTTTTTCTTTATGCATGTATTTCGATGAAAAGTTTCAATCCATTTTCCGCAGTGATTTTGTACTCTTTCTCTTTTTTACGTTCACTTGATTTTCACATGAAAAATTGATTCGTTGTTTGATGTAAAACAACGGTGCGTGTTTTTACTCTCTTATTTTCTCTTTTGCTCTCTCATTTTTCAAACATTATGCGTCATTAAAAGCAATTATGAATCGTTGAATTTTTCCGTCGATTTTTCGACATCCAATTCAAATGTTGCCTATGTACACATCCATATAAAGAAATCCACTTTTTCCATTGTGGTCCCAGCCATGCCTATCCATTAGAGGTTTATGTCGCCATTCACCATACCCTAGGTCTCGCAGCCAAAATGTGTGTCTTTGTGCATGTGATTTTTTTTGTTGTTGTTTGTTGCCTCTGTTTTCAAGTGGCATTATTTCTGCATGGCAAGTACCATACATGGATGAAATGACGAGCAAATGTGTTGTAAAAAAAGTCGACATTTTCGGACACCGACAGCAATGAAATTGAATGAACCGAAAAAGACCAATACTGAAAAAAAACCGACTCGTACACCCACACATACGCACAAATCGGGCGCGAAAACAAAATATGGAATTGTAAGCGGGCTGTTGCTGTTTGGTTGGCATGTGGATTTTTTGAATGCGCAAAATGAGCTTTTCAAACTTTGCATCCATCGCACATACACAAAAGATATACATAACACATAGGCATACGAATAATCGTGTAAAATGCCAGGCTTTGAGTCTCAAAAGCATTCGGGTGTATTTGAATTTGTGTGACACAAAAGAGACCATCATCACAGTACATGTTTTTTAATCGGCGTTTTTTTTTTGTTGCGTTTATTTGGCCCGAAAAGTGCCAAATAAGCCGATTGTCGAGTTTTGGTTTTTTTTTCGTTTCGTTGAGAGTGCGAGAGTGAAAATCCCCTAGATGAAAATCAAATTAAATTTTTAAACAAGCTATTGCATTATTATTCTATAATAATGAAA